ACCCAGTGAGTTGACTAGGACAAGCTCAGCTTGAGTCCCTGCCATGGACATGGTACCAGTCACCATCCTGGCAGTTTCCCCTATGCTTTTCCCCTGAGTCTTACTGAAAGTCAAGTCATCCTTTAAAATTAATTTTCTGATATAGCCACTTCTGCTTATTTTTAACCAGTCTCTACAGTCCCCTTTACAGGAAAGTTAAGAGGCAGTTCAAAGTCAATGAAAAATTATGTAAATTCAAACAAATTACCTAACCTATGGACACCTGGGTTTCCCGATCTGTAAAAGGCAAAGGATGCCAGCCCTCGTGTCCCCCAAGGAGCAGTAACAAGGCAGGACCTAGAGAAGGTGCGCAGCTTGGAAGCCAGCCCTAGCCTGTCTTGGCACATGTCAATCCCTTGGTGAATTCCCAGTTCCTGATCAGCCTAGGAGACTAGCACCCCAGGAGTTAGATGATGCTCTCCTCTCAGGCATCTGTCAGGCTGTGATTCCTGAAAGCCATTCTTCTTCCTTCTCTCCTCCTCAAAAATAAACCAGAATGGTCAATACCTAGAGACTGGGGAGGGGAAGAGATCAGGTCAGTGGACTGAAGCATCCACTCACACATTATTCATTCTCTTGGATTTGTCCTCGTCCTCCTCCCTCTGTAGGTCAGCTGTGATCAGCTGGAGCAGCTAATACTTCTGAGATGACTGATTTCACAGAATGAGGGAATGCAGCAACAGGCCCATTCACATATATTTGAATGGTTTATTTTGTTGTTGCTGTTTGTTTTTTTGCCATACTGGGGCTTGAACTCAGGGCCTACAGCCTGAGCCACTCCACCAGCCTTTTGTGTGTGTGTGTGTGTGTGTGTGTGTGTGTGTGTAATGGGTTTTTTTCAAGATAGGGTCTTGCAAACTACTTGCCCAGGCTGGCTTCAAATCGGCATCCTCCTGATCTCCACCTCCTGAGTGACTAGGATTACAAGCGTGTACCACTGGCACCCGCCTGAACATTTCTGCTTCCCACAACTTGACAGACAACCCCTGCTCTTTCTTGACATTTAGGACATGATGTAAACTCTACTTCAATCTGGAAATAACTCTCTTAAAAGAATCAGGAAAGACCCTCTAGCTATGGAGTATCCATTATTAAGTACCTCCTCAGGATCCTTGAGCAAAAGGCACAAGCACTTGCCATGAAACCACTGGCTCAGCCACGTGTTCTCCAAGACTCAAGAAGCAAATAAGCAGCTCCTCCAACCAAGAGCATCCTCTTATCTCTGGCCCCACCCCTTCCTGTCTTTTGTAAGTTGCTGGGAGAGAAAAACACTCAACATAAACTGAGCAGCAATTTTGGTGTGGGTGTGGATTCTCTGAAAGTTTCCCTTGAAAGCAACTAGAGGAAATAAGAAATTACATGGAAGGAGAAAAGAAAAAACTCAAGGACATGGGCAACTATAGGGCCGGAGCAGGAACTGACAAAAAAACATCTCTGGGAACAGTAGCAAATATGTAGTCAGATTACCAGGGAATCCATGGCAGGGCAGTCAATGAGATACTGAGTAAAAGAAGAAAACTAAGCCAGGCACAGGTGGCTCATGCCTATAATCCTAGCAACTCAGGAGGCAGAGATCAGGAAGATCACGGATCGAAGCCAGCCCCGGCAAATAGTTTGCGAGGCCCTATCTCAAAAAACCCTTCACAAAAATAGGGCTGTGGGAGTGACTCCAAGGTGAAGGCCCTGAGTTCAAGCCCCAGAATGAAAAGAAAAAAAAAAGAAAAGAAAACTAGTTTATGTCCATTTGAAGATGGGAATCTGGGTTTGATTTTAAGATTCTCACAATAACAGATGAAAATGCTGTATGAGTCTGTTTAGAAACAGGCAAAATTAAGCATGGGGTGCTAAGGACACCTACTTGGGTGGTAAAAGTACAAATAAAAGCAAGGAAAAGGGCTGGAGGTATGGCTCAAGTAGTAGAGCACCTGCTTTCCAAGTGTGAAGACCTGAATTCAAACCACACTCCCACAAAAAAAAGAAAGAAAGAAAAAAAGAAAAGCAAGGAAGTGATTACTGTAAGAAGTCATGTCTACATTACTAAGCTGGGTGCTGCCAATGTTTAGTTTCTTGACCTGGGTAGTGACTATACAGGTGTTTGCTTTATAATCATTTGCAATGCATTCATATTTTATGACTTGTTATTTCACAATAAAAAGTAAGTTAGAAAAAGAAGATATTACAAATGTATAAGACTATGAAGTTCTATTCAGAAGCTTTAGCAGTTTAACAAAAAACTGGAGCCAATATCTGAAAAACTCATGCAAGAGAAAGCAAACATAAGATTTTTAAATAAAAGGCACTCCTCTCTCTCTCTCTCTCTTTCTGCTTCATTTTATGGTTTACTTTGGTGTGGAGCCTCAAAGTCTCTTATATAAAACCATACCAGCCAACTGTATCTGCCCAGGATAATAAATACAGCACACCTACAAACTAACGAGAAGGTGTGTATAGCTCTTTGTCCAAGTTCTCACCTCCTTACCATATTCCATTATTCACTGCTTACAGACCACTCTCATATTCCTTAACTGGCAGCCATGGGCTGGTGTTATCCCAGCAAATATATATGTGTAATTATATTTATGAATATATTTATACATATATATGACAAATATGTAATATACACATATATATGACAATAGAAGACTCACCACAGGTACAGCTCGAGGAAGAACCAGACCCCAGGGCTAAGGATGTAGCCCAGTGGTAGAGCACTTGCCTGCTATGTGCGAGGTCCTAGTTCAATCCCAAGCACTGCAAAAAAAAAAAACGAACCAGACCCCAGACCAGCCTCAGATCTTAGACCTCCTCCCCATGGTCCTTTTATGATAATGACTTCCCCATTCCCAAGACATAAACAGGCTCATATGTTTTGTAATGGAAATAATGAGTTGAAGAGACAAGTAAGTTACTGTCAGCGTGAGAATGTCTCCTTCTGAGTCACTTTCACTTTTCAATTAAAGCACCTACCAGTCATTACAAAGATTAGCTTTCATGAACATTTTCAGAATGGAGCTGTGTCCTCTCATTTCTAAGGAGTCTGCATAGGCACATAGTAAATGCTCATTAAACATGTGCACATACTATAAATAATAAATTAATCAGTATATGAAGATTCAAACCATTCAACTCACAGTGTGATATTCTCCCACCCCATGCCATCTTTCTGCTCAGTGGCACTTTTATATTAAGTTTTTGCTGTGTTTTTTGGCAGTGTTGGGGATTGAACTGAGGGTCTTGTGTATGTTAGGCAAGTGTTCTACCACTGAGCTACATTCCCAGCCCACATTAAGACTTTAAAGCAGCCAAAATGACAGTCAGTGACTGCCCTTTTAACTGATTGCCAATACATCCTCCCCTACTTATTAAAAAAAAAAAGTTTCATGTCATACATAAATGACAGAAGTAGAGAGGCCCGACAGGTTAATTATAGACACCAAGAGTAGAGACAAATAGACTATGAGGTAAGCAAGTCGAAATGTGCAGAGGCAATGCCCTCTCTGGACAAGCATTTCTCACTAAGGTTGCAAGGTTATACCAGGCATTGCCAGGTGCAGCCTTGTGCCAGGCTTGGGGAAGGGTCCAGATTTGGTAAGGCACACTTTCTGTGCTTGAGGAATTTAGCTAGAGGTTGTGAAGCCACTGTCTACCTCCAAGAACAATCAAAGAAGCCTCTGGGAGACCAGATGGGCAGGTGAAGACAGGGCCTTAAAACTGGGCTGCCTGCTCCTTTTGAGTGTGAAATTTGAAAGAACTGCTCACTGTGCCAAACCCACCTGTAAGGAAGTGTGGGTGGCGCTGTGACTGGCAGAGAAGCTAAGAGGAGACCCCCCAAACCTCCTCCTGCATCTTCCACCCAACTCCTTCAACTGCTGGAGGCTGGGGCTTAAGTCAAAAGGACCACGAGGGATCTTTCCCTTCCATCTCCACCGTCCCCCAAACCCAAGAAAAATAGAGGGATGTTTAGAAAACCAGGGAGACAAGTTTAAGGTCAGCTTCGGTGGACAAATGGGTTCAGGGATGGAATGTTGTGCTCTCTCTAGGCAAAACAAAGAGATGGGTAGTGCTTTTTTGCTACCTTTCTTTATTCAATGAGAAGATATTCACACACACACACACACACACCCCTCCGCTGCAGGTACTAAATGTGAAGACTCTCGGTAGGACATCAAATTTGTGTTGTTTGGCCCAAACACGGAGTCTAGACCCGGGGAGACCATGGGTCTGGGTGCTATGGAACGCGGGCCCTTCCAAAGATAAGATCCCGCTAAAAAAAAAAAAAGTACTGAACCACTGGGTGGGAGTCTCTCCCTCTCCCCTTCTCCACCCAAGTATTTACTCATCCCCTGAGGGGAATGACTGGCAGAAAGATGGCGTTGCCACCTTCCGCAGGGGGAGACGAATGACTAAGAGGGTTTATTTCCAAACTCCCGCGTTTTCTCGGAAAAGCATTACGGAGATAAGACCCACCCATGGATCAAATTCAAAGAGTGGAAAACTAGTTGTTTCCGTTTGGTTTCTTTTTTTTTTTTTTTTTTTTAAGATATTCCCACTCGCCCTCTAGTAGCTCCATTCCCCCTCACCATCAGGACTTCCCATCTGTTATCACCCGATCCCCACCCCCGTGGACGGGGACGATCAGGAAAGTGGTCTCTCCCAGTGCGCGGGATCTGAGGAGACCCTCGTCCCCGAGTCGGTGGACAAAGCGTCCACACGCCGCGCAGCGCCGCGCTTCCGGGGCGAAGGAAGAAAACCTTGGCCTTGGCGCCCTCGGTGAGCGCAGCGGGGAACGCGGCGGACAGCGCTCAGCGCACCGCGCACCTGGACGCGCCCCAGGTGCGGCCCCGTCTCTGTCCCCGTCAGCACCCGCGGGTTCCAGCGTCCCCAGATCCCCTCGTGGCGGAGCGTGCCGCCACCCCGCCCGCGGGCGCCCCGCTCCCACGCGCGTCCCAAGCTGCTCTTACTCGGGAAATGGCGAGAGGCTGCTCGAAATCCTTGCCGCCCACGAGGCGGAAGCCCCATGGTCCCGGGCCCTGGAGGACTATCTGCTGGGTGGTCATGGCGCGGCGGCGGCGGCGGTGGGCACGACCCGCGGGGACAGACGGACAGGACGCGCGGCGCGGCACGCTGGGCACTCGGAGCAGCTGTCGGAGAAAGAGCGCGCGGCTCTGGCCCGAGAGCCCGAGCGGGGACTGGAGGAGGGCGGGATCGAGGGCGGGAGCGGCTCCGCCCAGGCCGCGTCGTCGCCGCGCCCCGCCTGTCCCTCGGCGGGGCCCGCAGCTGGTCCACGCCCTGCGCGCGTGCAGAGGACCGGGCCGGGAGCCCCGCCGAGAGAGGCCGAGTGAGGTCGTGGGGCCCCGGGCCTGGGCTCTCAGCAGCTCCGCCCCGGAGACCCGCCCCACCCACCGCCGCTCCCAGCCCCGAGGCCCCCGCAGGTGAGAGGGAGCAGGTCCCGACAGACCGCGGACCAGACAAACCCCCGCCGTGTGCTGTGCGAAAAAGTGGAAAAGGGCTGTGCAAAGTCAACTCTGAGGTCAGCTCCAATTTCACTTTTGCTTTTTGGAAATCATAATGATGTTTAAGAGGTGCTTTCAAATGATCTCATTTGATGCTGAGAGCGAGCCAGAACATTTAGTCCCATTTTACAGATGAAGTAACTGAGCCTGCCCGCCGTTAGAAGACTTGCCTGAGGGTACACAGATCATCAGGGTTAGTTATATCTGGACCAATGCCCTGGCTCCCAGTGCTGAAGAATGCCATCCGGGAACTTTTCTAATGCTAATGAGACCATCACATACTAATTGGGCTTCGTGAGTTTCCTAGAAACCTTTCCTCCAGGCTGGAATGTGGGTTCAGACCTTCCAACAGTTCGGTCTTCAAGTCTGGGACAGGCAAATTGACTGAAAGGGGTTGTGGGAAGCTGGGTTCCCAGCTGCTAGGAGCTTTCTAACCAGAAGCCCTGACAGCCACCTAAATCAGACTACCTCTCACCTCCGTTCACTGAGTCTGTACCTCACACAGAGTAAAAACCCAAATTCTTAAAATGCCCATAGGGTCACTCCCAGAATGGCCCCAGCTCCTCGCGCTCTCTCTTGAACGCCCTCCCCACCCCCACCGCGTTTTTGCCACACTGGCCTCCTTCTCAGAGCCTTGCCTCCAACCTCCATCCGGATGGAATATCTTCTCCCGGACATCTCCACAGCTTTTTGTTCAAATGTGACCTTCTCAATGTGGCCATCTCTGAGAGCCACTTAAAACATCCTGTCTAGAATACCTCCCCTGCCTTAATTTTCTTTGTGTTTGTCACAGTCTGATAGATTTTACTTATTTGTTCCACTCCCATCCCCAAGCATTGGCTCGTCCAGGGCACGGGTTTTTGTATGTTTTGATCACTGGTGTACCTCAGGACCTAGAATACTGCCTGGCCCATAGCACTTAATGGATAGACGCAATGCATTGGCCATCCTTAGGACCACCTACCCCTCCAGTCCCTATAATCTTCCTGGCACCCATCCTTTCCTGCAGTTGGGCAAATGCTCAAAGACTGTGCTAGATGTACAGCTCTGTCTCCCTGCTGTCCTGGCCTGCCTTCTGAGGAGCCCCAGGCACAGACTTACACATGAAGGATCATTTTACTCCTCCAATCGTGTCACAACACAACCACCTGTGTTTGGGAATGGTTTGCTTGCTTTTAGAAATCAAGGTAGATTTATATTATCTAGGCAGTCCTTTCAACCCCTTACCTCCTGATAATCTTTCTTGAATCTGAGAGAGGGGGAAAAAAAAGAAGAACAGTTAGAGTCTCTTTTCTTTTTGTTTTGTGTCTTTGGTTTTGAGACAGGGTCTCGCTGTGTTGTCCAGGCTGACCCTGAATTTATGGAGTCAATCAATCCTCCTGCCTCATCTCTTCAAGTTGATGGTAAGCTCCAATTTCCAATGGCTCATCCACTCCCATGTTGGCTAAGCCACTTGTTTTTTTGTTATTGTTTTGTGTTTCCTTTTGGGTGTTACTGGGGTTTAAACCCAGGGCTTTGCGCTTACAAAGCAGGCACTCTACTACTGGAGACTCCAGTCTGTTTTGCTCTGGTTATTTTTGTAGATGGGGTCTGTTTGCCTGGACTGGCCTCAAACTGAGACCCTCCTGATCTCAGCCTCCCAAGTAGCTAGGGCTACAGGCATGAGCCACTAGGCACCCAGCTCATACCACCTGTTTTATCAACACCAAAAATATATCCTCTTTGATAAGATTCTGTTGATTAGAAAGCCCGTTAAGTGGGCTGGGGACTTAACTCAGTGATATGGTTCATGTTTTCCATGCAAAAAGCCCTGGGTTTGATCCCCAGCACCAAAAACAAAAAACAAGTAAGTTAAAGAGAAAGCACACTAGTGCTTATAGTCTTTGCAAATGCCACATGTGCAGCAGTTTTGAATACTTTGTATCCTACTACAAGAAAAAGGCAAAAAGTCCACAGCTTCTGTGCTCTCCAAAGGACTGCCCTTCACTCACCCCAGGTACCCTGCTACCATACTTCTGATACACAGTAGGGGTCAATATGTGTTTATTCCACACAGTATTCTGTACAGGTATAGAGCACTAGTACCTTAGCAAAATGTCTATCAGGACTGAGTTCTCATTTGCTTTGCTGTTGAGTGTTCTCAGTTGTAGTCTGGCTCTACACAGCAACCCTATAACCTAGTCAACCCCTCTCTGGGCACTGATTCCAAGGACATAACTTAAAGGAAGAAAGAATGGTATATGTACTCAGATATTTATAGCTGCATTATTTATAATGACAATTCTGCTACTGGAATCACCCCTCAGACACTAACAGAAAAGTGGCTACATATGGTATGGCCATATGAAGGAGTAATATGCAGAATGAAAATGATAAAAAAAAAAGGAACATGAAGACCAAGAGGAGGCGGGGGAAAAGTTTATAAAATATGTAAAAAGGGCCTGGGGGTGTAGCTTAGTGAGAAAGCCTTGCCCAGCCCTGAAAAAAAAAAAGTTTAAAAATATGTGAAAAGAAAAGAATGGAACAAAATTGTTGTATACTATGTTTTAAAAAATAATAGTTTTTAATCTAACTATTGATTTAAAAACTAAGAGAAAATACAAAAACTTTTTTTTTTTTTTTGCTCATTAGGAGTTGGAATTGGAGAGAATTTTTATCATCCTCTAATGATAATGTAAAGGTTTCAAAATCAAAATCAACAAAACTGTCTGGGCCACTAGGATGGAGAATTAATGTAGTCTTTCTCAGGGTAGAGACTTTATCATCTAATCTCCTCTTCTCTCCCCAAGCAGCTAGCTCTGAGTTGGGCACACAGCATGTGCTCAGAAAATACCCACCTGACTGATTGACAGCTTTCGCCCTAAGACACAAGCAGTCTTATCTAAAAAGCCAGGCTTGTTTAGCCAATTCCCTCAGACCCTTAACTCCTGCCCTGTACCAGTCGAGTGGCCGTAAGAAACCTCTGAACTTCAGTTTGCCTTGTTATTATAACGCATTCCATAAAGTTTGTTGACCTAAACACCCTTCCCATCAAACAGCTGGGTACTGGGGGAGAACGCAGGAGAAATGGAAACACTGGGCAGGAAAAGGCCTGAGAGGCAGTGTCCCAGGAAACCAGGGAGGGGGGCATGACAGTGGATCTCCCCTCTTTGACAATGCCCATTGAGCAGGAAGTGGCTGCTGCCTGGGTTCCCTCAGGGCGCCATAGCCAGGACCTTCCAGTCTCTTTGCTTCCTAAACCGACAGCCCAGCGCTGGGTTTCTTAAAGGTGTAGGGTCCTGCAGGCTAGGCTGTACACATGGTCACATTTATCCTCCAGGACAAGACCTGGGCTTTTCCAGGTAACTTGGCCAAGGCCACACTGGCTGCCAGGACCCCTCCTAAGGGACTGAGCGCTTCTAGCCTAGAGGAAGGAGCTTGTGACTCGGGTTAGGACCCGGAGCTGGGACTGGGAATCTACTCCCATATCCGAGTGAGGCCCGCACAGCCAAGCCCGGTGTCCCTACGGCCCAGTGCGGGCACCCAGCGCCGCTCAGTCCCCAGATCCGTGCAGCTACCTGCCCTGCCCGGCGCCCTGGTCAAATGACGTCTGAGGGACTTGCTTCTCTATTCTCCAAAAACAACCGAAACCCAAGCTCCGAGCCTCCCTAGGTCTGTGGGTCCTTTGCCCCATGTCTCTTGGGTCCCGGCGACACCCCAGAGCAGCTGATTGGCTGAATCCATCCCGGAGAGTCGTCCTAGGCTGCGTCAGCACCTGAGCAGGGAATTGGGCTCCCAGTTCTTTTCTCCTGCTTCCTGAGCTCACCTGGGGGAAAACTTGAAGTGGCCACTGGGGATTGGGCCCCTCTCAGATTTCAGCAGCACAGAGCATGCTCCGTGGCGCTTCTGGCCATAAGGACCACCTGGGCACCAGGCTTGGCTGGCTGGTGTGCCCTCCGGCTGGTGAGAGTGTGAATGGGTAGCCGGCAGGTCAGAGGCCCACCCTGAGCCTAGTAGAGGAAGAACTGAGGAGCCAGCCCAAGGGCCACAACTGCGTTTCCCTCCTGGACAGTGCTCTGGACAGGAAAAAGAAGAAATTCCAATGTAGAATCATAGATAAGGTGCTTCATATTAAATGTTTATATGAAGAACAAGATGACAACATAATGCAATACTATTGTTCACATAATAACTGATGAATTAATACTTTTTTCCAGGTATGGTGGTTCATGCTTGTAATCTCAGCACTTGCTTGGGAGACTAAGGCAGGAGAATCACAAGTTCAAGGCCAACTGGACTATATAGTGAGAGCCTGTCTATAAAAATGTGACCAGGCCCTGAGGCTCATGCCTGTAATCCCAGCTGCTTGGGAGATCACTCTGGGCAAAAAGTTAATGAGAGGTCATCTCAACAAATAAGCCAGGCCTTGTGCTGAACGCCTGTCATACCAGCTGTGGGAGACATAGGTAGGAGGATTATGGTCCCAGGCCAGCCCAGGCAAAAAACTCAGGACTCTATCTGAAAAACAATTTAAAAAGCAGAAAAGACTGGGGATGTGGCTCAAGTGGTAGAGCACCTGCCCAGCAAGTGTGAGGCACTAAGTTCAAACCCAGTATGGAAAAAAAAAGAGTAATTTTTTTCTGCTAATGTGACCTAAATTAAAAGGTCCTGTTAACATTGTTC